TATTCGTAAAACAGAGAAGATCCATTAATTACATAATAATACACGACATCGGATTAAAATGCATTTGTGAAGTCTCATATGTTGGGACGCATTCATTTTTTTTTCTTGGCAAAAGCAAACAGCATGACTTTTTTAACTTTTTGGTCATGCACTCATTATTTCTATTTATTCAAACTTTTGAACATATCTGCATTTTGTATAAAAAATGGCAAACACGCAATCCAAAGTCGATACATTAGAAGAACAGAATTCCAAACTTATAGCTGAGATTGCCGAGCTTAGAAAGGAGAATGCAAGGCTGAAGCAGATTATCGAGGAGAATGAAAAGCGTGATGTTAGAGTTGAGGAATTAGAGCAAAAGAATATAGAGCTTGAGACTAGGCTCACTATATTAGAACAGGGAAAAGAAGAAAAAAGTATTTCTATTGCAGAGCAAGCCGTTAGGCGATCCTCCGAATCATGGCTCTTCAAGCCTACGGAAGATGTTTCGCACTCTCCAATAAAATCTAACGATACTCTCAAACAGATAGTGCTACAATGTGGTGATACCCCGGTATCTGATATAACTGATGACACCTCTGAACAGGCGGTCTTGCAAAATAAGGATGCTCCGGCATCTGATGTATCCAATAATGTTTCAAATTCTGACGAATATCAGTCTCAAGTCTCTGATTCATCTTTGACTATACCACCTATATGTGTAAAGTCTAAATCATCTGAAGGTAAAAGGATTGATAATTTTCTGAATGAAAAACATAATGAACAGATTTGTAACAAAATAAGAGAAAGGAATCGGGAAAAGAAGCTATTACAGAATAATGAAACTTCCGCTTCTCAAGCCCAAAACTCATATTCGGATAGCTCGCCAAAATCTCATGATGAATTACACGTCAAACAAATTTCGGAATCGCAATCTATTCCTAACACTCCTAATTTACCTGAAGAATCCTCAGAACAAAATACAGACTTACAGAAAACAAAAATCCCTGAAATAGACGTACAGCCTTTGATAGAAGAATTAAGAATAGAACCTTTAGTGGAAGATACCGTTAAAGTTGTTAATGTTGATAAAAATTCTACAGATAAGCAATCACTTGCAATCGAATTGGTCCATCTATTTGAAAAAATAAGCTTGGCAGAGAATAATACTAAATGAGCCAAGGTGGAAGAAATTACGAGCTGGTACCAATATAGAAAGCATTTCGAAAAAAGACTTGATGATATTTTACCCGAAAACCAAAGAAATGGTAAGAGAGCCTATGATTTAGCAAGTGGGCAGATTTATGATGAAATGCTACAGTATCTTTCAGGTATTTCTCATGTAAGTTTGCGTAAAAGAACTCAAAGAACTAAACCTATATACAAATTATTTAGCGTAATTGGAGAAGATAAAATTAAGCGAATTAAAACTTATAGTGCAAATAAACTCTTGAAGTTAACTGACGTGCAAATCGATACAATTAAGAAGCATTTCATTGCTATACTGCATGACCAAAAGTCACGCACTCATATGACTGAGGTAAGTATTTTACCTAATAATATATTGCCAGAAAATAAGATTCATGACCATGCTTACTTTCATAATAAGACATTGTTGCGATATTCTGATCTATATAAAGTATTTATTTCTGAAAAATTTGATCGTTATGGGATTATTGAGGGTTTATTATGCCCAGTATGTAAACTAGATCATGAGGACGGGAAAAGTGTAAAAGGTAAATACGAAGCTGGATCCTATTTTATTATATGTGGAAAGCGTGAAATCGAAATAACAGCATAAATCCCACCTTCTTGCAGTAACTGCTCGAAGCCAGAAAAAATTACCAGAGGCAAGCACTTCATGGTCAGATAACATATACTTTTACTAACAGTGCGGATCATCTATACTCAAAAGTTAAAATTTTTGAAATATTATGTGATCCACACATTTGATTTTAAAAAACTTACCACCATTCAATTCAGCTTTAAAAGGGGAGTCTATTAATCTAAAAAAAATTTGTCTCAAATTTTCTTTTCATAGGTTTTTTAAATTTGAAAGTTATGCTCAGAAGTGCAACAATAATT